TGAGGTTGGCTTGGGCCCACCTCTCCAGCCTGTCCAGGTCCCTCTGGATGGCATCCCTCCCCTCCAGCACGTCTACCTCGCCTAACAGCTTGGTGTCATCGGCAAACTTGCTGAGGGTGCACTCGACCCCACTGTCCATGTCCGCAACAAAGATGTTGAACAGTACAGGCCCCAGTACCGACCCCTGAGGAACACCACTCGTCACTGCTCTCCACTTGGACATTGAGCCGTTGACTGCAACTCTTTGAGTGCGACCGTCCAGCCAGTTCTTTATCCACTGAGTGGTTCATATGTTGATCCATGTCTCTTCAATTTAGAGAACAGGATATCGTGTGGGACGGTGTCAAACGCTTTGCCCAAGTCCAGGTAGATGACATCTGTTGCTCTTCCCTTGTACACTGCTGCTGTAACTCCTTCATAGAAGGCCACCTGATTTGTCAGGCATGACTTGCCCTTGGTGAAGCCATGCTGGCTGTCACCAATCACCTCCTTGTTTTCTATGTGCCTCAGCAGAGTTTCCAGGTAGTTGGTTTTCTCCTTGAGCAAATTCTGTCAAAAATACCAAATTCAGCAGCAGTTACATCAAATAATATCAGATGCTTAACAGGTCTGAAAATTTAGAAAGTTAATTAGAAAGACCAAAAGGTCTACATTTCTCTTTGCTGCTATGTAGAAATAAAATATTTGAATGTTTATGATCACTGCAACATTAAAAAACCCAAGTTTTATGACCAAATGATTTTGGGGAAACATTTGTCTAGAAATGTTTCTTTCTGCTAGACTCAATAGCAATAGTACAGCCAAACACACGTTATTTAGTCATTCACAAATCTGCACAGCTGTATACTTTGTTATTTGGTCGGGTATCATTGTACATGTGGCTCACCCAGAGCTGAGTGCTGGATTTCAGATCTGGTTTAATTTACAGACTATACTCGGAGGTCCTTTAACCCATGTTTATTGTTCAAAAGAGTTACAAATTTGCTTACTTGTATGTTAAGCAACTTCTGCAATTTGGAACTTGTCCTGGTTCCAGCTGGGATAGAGTTAGTTTTCTTCCTAGTAGCTGCTGTGTTTTAGATTTAGTGTGAGAATAATATTGATAACAGACATCTTTTAACCGTTCCTAAGTAATGCTTATATTAAGTCAAAGACTTCTTTGGCTTTCCATAGAAGCTGAGAGGGATCATAGCCAGGACAAGCTGGCCAAAGGAGTATTCCATACCATAGATGTCACGCTCAATATATAAATGGGGGTTGGCCGGGGTGCAGGAATCCACGATCACTGCTCGGGGCAAGTTGGGCAATTGATCGTCGGGTGGTGAGCAGTTGCATTGTGCAAAAACTTGTTTTGTGTAGTCTTTTATCATTATTATTGTTACTATTTTCTCTTCCTTCGCTGTCCTGTTAAACTGTTTTTATCTCAACTCATGATTATTTTTTTCTTTTCCCCCCTGATTCTCTCCCCCATCCCACTGCAGGGGTGGTGGTAGAGGCTGATGAGCGACTGGCTGCATGGTGTTTGGCTGCCTGCTGGGTTTAAACCGCAACAGAAATGTTTTTCTTCATGTGTATACTGTGCTTCAGTGACTTAAAATTATTTTGGTTACTAGCTGTGTAACTATAGGTATTTCCACAGTTTGTTTACTCCAAAAAGCACAGGTGTATCTGTTTTTAGTGCTAATATTGCAGTTTTTTGGTGGATGATTGTTTTCATTTTGAATAAGTATGAATTCTGAACTATTATTTTGAAGGACAGTCCTGCAGAGGCTGTGCTGTCAACTTTCCTTTTCAAGCTTGCCCGCTCTGAAAAGTGGTGTGCATGCAGTAGAAATCAAAGGGAAAACGTAAGGAAGCTAGATATGGTTTTGCATAGCCAATATCTCTCAGTGTATAAAGAATGGTCCCTAGAGTGCATTCATACAAACTAGGTCCTGTGTGATCAACGTAAAATACTCAGTTCCACAGCAAGCTATAGCCTAGTGCAACTCTGTGGTTTTGGTTTTTGGTTGGTTTTTTTTTTTTTAATTCTTAACTGGTATGCCTTTAATTGCATCTATTGCGTGCTTCTAGAATAAGATTTATTCATTCGAAGGCCCTTTTAAAAATTATTATTTTTATTAA